GGGGGCTTGAGAAATCATCAATGCAGCGGTGGGCACCTTGAAGAAGAAAACGGGTGCGAGAACCTGTGTGACAGTGTGAACCGTTGAATCGCGCATTCGCATTTCAAATAATTTCCCTGGTATTACTAGCCTAGTTGTCAAGGGAGACTATAAGGATCCTCGTCTCCCTTGTCCCTTTCGTGTCCAATAACTGATAACTCGGAGATTTTTCTTTGGCTTACGAATTCGAGCCGTCACAGACTTCCTAAAAGTTGAGTGACATACTTTGCATTGAAAGAAGCTCACACGCAAATGAGAGATTCAAACTCAAATTATAATGGGGATTTTTAAAAAAAGTACCACTTTCTGATTGTGTAAAATAATCTAATCTTTTGAATCTTTACGATTTCTTTTCACGTGAAAGCTGCTAAATGCTGTAAAAAGAAGACCATATTTAAAAAAAAAACATTTTGGTCTTTCATTAAGCCTTCACAGAACCCGCATAAAAGAAAGGAAATTGGCATTTTTTCCGACCAAGTGACGGATATTTTATTTTCTTTGTTTCTTTTTAAATGAAGTTTAAATCAGTATTTATCAAAAGCTGCAATAGTGCATGATCATTGTCACCCAAAAGAGAGAGCATATATAACTAAACAGCTTAGAAATCGAAAAATAAATCCACCACGTGTAGGGAAAATAATGGAATCTTTTATTTTTTTTAAAAGTGTGAGTACTGTGAACATTAATCGAAACGGCAAAACGTTATTTTCATAAATTAGCCTACTTTTTATAGTACTTGATTTTACTCATGTGAAATGAAATGAGTAAAGACAATTAAAATGTGGCACCTGTTTTGATTGCAAGTATACAATTATGAGAGGAACTACGAAGGGAGGCCAAAAACTCATAGGAAGACCATTTTCTATTCTAGCTCCACCCATGTGACAATCTCTCTCACAATATCAGATTGATACAAAGTCAAAGGCACAATTTAAAATTCATGAAACAAACATACTTCATGAAATTCCTCATAAATAGCGAGCCCTTCTTATTCATAGTACTCTTATTTTCATAATGTGGAGTGCAACTCCTCCCTTACTGTGCTTTCTCGTAGTGTGGTTTTTTACTAATGGTTTAGCGTTAATCAAAATAACAAATTCACAAACGTTGACGCATATTAGGTATGAACTAGTCACAGCTTTAACTATTTTTTCCATGTGTCTATTTGGATTTATCATTTGGCTTGCTCTATGTGGCTCATTTACACCGTTGTTTTTTTTAAACGGCTGTTGCTTGTGCTACATACTAAAGGTATCTTTAAAACAGTAGCCCGTGAAATGGAAGACAGTAGTCCATAAGAGTCTATGAAAGACACATCGTAGTCCTCAATTTTTTTTGAAGACTATTATAACGCTTCCTTTCTTCTTCTCATCAGATGTTCAAATCTGTTTCAAAATGTGGATTTGGATAATTTTGCTCTCAACGCTTGAAAAGTGACCGCCCCCAGTTCAGAGAGGGCGAGAAAGTAGGGTTGTGCCGGTGGTGGCGGTGGTGGGGGGGGGATAGGTGAGTCGTTGGTGAACCACTAACGACTATTTGTTGTAGGATATAAGATAACGAATAAACGTTTAACCATCGTACGATGAAAACCGCCAAGTTTGACTTTGGCATTAGAGCTTAGATAACACTAACGGCTGTTCATTTGACCCTTAGGATGTGGCAGTGTAGCGTGAAAACACGTAGTAAATCCTGTCTATTCGACTTTAGAGAAGGGCTGAAATGAAATCTAATGGACAACATCACTTTCGTCGAATACTTCAGTACTCGAGAGGAAGATCCCAATTTGTGTTGCCTAAGGGCGTTGGATGAGGGACCTGGGGGAAATATAGGGGACGCTTCACTTTTTCAGACCCTCACAACTGGGTGGTACGAGGTTCTGGGATCCCGCTGAGCCAAACGTGGACTTCTGGTTTAATACAGAAAAACGTTATCTGGGCAAAATCTATCCCTCCTTTTTATAATATTTTTCTACTTAAAGTGCAATTAAGATTGTACGCAGATAAGATGCAGAAATCTGGTTTATTGATATTGGCCCTCGTGCCTTTTGTCTACGGGGGGACGTTGATGGAAGAGCTTGCTGCTTTGGGCTCAACGTCAGTTATCAGAGATTTGCTCAACAGAACCGGCCTGGCTCAACAGATAGACAAAGGTGAGTGAACGTGTATTCTCATTTCTTTCTGAATATGTGGCAGACTCTGGGGATAGAGAGAACTGACACGGTCGTTATCGTCGTCGTCGTCGTCGTCGTCTCTCTCTCTCTCCCTCTTTCT